AAAAACCCTTTTCAACCTAATTCATGCAGGAATCCCCAACATCGAGCCAATTGAAATGCAAATCCAGCTTGATACAGCGAATAAAGTTATTTTATTCATTTTAATACCTAACAATAACATTAAGTATTGAGTAGTGAATGAAATAGATAAGAAAAATATTTTTTTAAATTTATAAACAATGAAATAGTTGACCAAAGTCAGTTGATGAAAACAGACTAATCAAACAGTCTTTTGCACTTTATCAGATTCACTGCTGATATCAATGAACAGCTCAATGGTTAATGATGCTGAACGTATTCATTTGATAGGATGGACATTAATATCCCTGAGTATGTTGGAAAGAATAACTTCCTCCTAAGGCAGTAATATGAATCAAAGAAAGGGAAAAACACTCGGGACATAAAACCTTTGAAGTGTGTGAGCTCACATGAAAACCCCTCGTCTGAATCCCCCAGTCAGCTGGACTTAAATCTCTTAAATGAAATCGTCCTGCGTGACTCAGCTGTTCAACTCCTCTCACCTGACCGGCTCTTATGCTCTCTGAAGTGCCAAAAAACACAAAAACCTGAGCCCAATCCCACTCAGTGAGCTCCTCATGTCGAGGTATGTTAACTCAACCTGACGGGACCCTCCTCAGAAACCTTTTGATCACTTTAATGCAGCGATGATGATGATGATGATGATGATGATGATGATGATGGCTCGGACTCTTTGGCGTGTTTCCTCATCTTTCCTTCTCGGAAAATACTGTTCTCTCTGAAGTCCTGCAGTGATATGGAAAGACGAAATGCACATGGCAGTTTGCGTGATACTAAAGCACAGAGTTTCTTGGCTTTACTAAGATTTCACACCGTCTGCTTTTACTCTTGTACATGTGCAAACTGTGATTCACAGCTCGGCAGATAAACGAGTTCAGCTGTTCTCTCTTAATACCTGGTGAACAAAGTGGAGCATTTAGCAGGTAGAGCTGATATCTTCAACGATTATCAGGCGAACACAAACTACTATTTTTAACTTGATGGTAATATTGCTTACTGTATTCTGGTGGTCTACTGTTTGCTAACATTTATGCCATAAAAGCTGTATGAAGGTCTCTATACATCAGTTTGTGGGTACGTGTCAGTATGTGTATAAGCATCTTACATTACATTATATTTCATGGTATTTTGCTGACGCTCTTATCCAAAGTGACTTACATTCCACTTCATACCGTAGACATGCCTATTAAAGGGTAAATGTGTAAAGAAGGGAGTGACATAAGTATGTATGTTATCTTATACCTCAATCTTTATTTTATATTTTTTTATTAGTAATTTTAGTTTAGTTTTTAAAGTCCACTATTCTGCTCCAGGCCTTTTAATCTTACATTACATTATTACATTACGTGTTACTTGTTAGACGCTTTTATCCAAAGCGACTTACATACTCAATACTGAGGGCAATCCCCACAGGAGCAATTTGGGGTGAAGTGTCTCAGGGACACAACGACATGCTGTGGGGTTTGAACCTGTGCTCCCCTGATCCCAACACCAACGCACTATGCCACTGCGCCACAGCCTCCTAACCCTTTAAGATGAGAGTTGATGTAGTAGTGCATTCTGTTAGACAAAAATACATTTTGATAGATTCAGTCTTTTATTCATTTCAGCAGTAAAGGTATCAACGTTTTTGATCAAAATGAACCAAAATCGTAAAGGTCACCTATTATGCAAAATCCCCTTCTTCATGTCTCTTCTACATCAACATGTGTCCCCACTTCTTCATGTCTCTTCTACATCAACATGTGTCCCCTCTGTGTAAAGAGATTCTGAAAGTTTCAGGAACAAAGATTCTCTCTCTTTTTGTCCTGATCCATTTATATAAAAACCTGTCTGAAAATGAGCTGATCAGATTTTGGCCACTTTATGATGTCATAACCAGGGGTGCACATAACTGGTACGCAGGTACGCATGCAAAACATCTGAAATGCGTACCGTCACTTGTCTCACTAAGCGCATTTGCGTACCGGCGGATTTGAGAAGCATTTCCAGAAGGCGCTTCGATCACTGGACGATAGTCAGTCGCCGTGCGCACAGACGGGGCTGCTGTTAACGTCGGTGTGTACAACGGAATTGTGCCACAACGGAATTGTGCCACAACTTCTGGCGCGAGTTCCACGCGAGTGCTCCACTAGCGCCCACCTCCACCCCCCCCCCCCCCGTCGACGTTCAATACCACACCCCCAGCCACACCCCCCCAGCCGACGTTCGCGAAACAGAGGGGCTGAACACATAACCTTGCGTACCAAACATTGTCTCCTGGTACTCATTTGAGTAACTCACTAAGAAAGTTATGTGCACCCCTGGTCATAACGATGTGTTGGCTTGTGTAACCATTAGCCAATCACCAACCAAGGTAACCCCCCCCCCCCCCCACCTTATCACCTGAATCTCCTCCTGGAGCACCATTGTGTTCTTTCTAACCAAATCTCTCTCAGAGGGGCGTGGGGAGGGGCTCCTTATTTTCATCTGAAGTAACAGAGAATCAGCACTTTTGAAACGGGGCTGAAACAGAGGGGATTATGGGATGCTGCAATGATCTGTTTGGTGTTTCAGACAAACACTTCAGAGACATGTTTTGTATATATCTGAGAGCTATAAGATATTGATGAAAAACAGTATGATAGGGGACCTTTAAAGAAAAGTACTTGATGAAATGAAAGGTTCAGTCTTTCATTAATTTCAGCAGTAAAGGTATCAGGTTATCAACGTTTTTGATCAAAATGAACCCCTGTTGGTGTCGTACGAACGTAAAAAGGGAACTGGACACAAACAGAAACAGGATGTCTGATCTTATCGTGTACTTCTCTTCTCTCCAGGTACCCTCGCATCAACAAAGAGTCGCTCCTCCCGGTCTCCACCAGCCTCAGCATGACGGGGCAGAGTGCAGAGGGCTGGTACCCCCCGGGGCACGGAGACATCTACGCCAGCTTCTACAACTCGGGGCTAATGGACCAGCTGATCGCTCAGGGCAAGGAGTACATCTTCGTGTCCAACATCGACAACCTGGGCGCCACCGTGGACCTCCACATCCTGCACCACCTGGTCAGCCAGCCCAACGGCAAGCGCTGCGAGTTCATCATGGAGGTGACGGACAAGACGCGCGCCGACGTCAAGGTGAGGAGAGGAGGAGGGTTATATTCATACTGACGTGATGTCTAGGAAAAGATGTGCTTATGGCTTTGTTTTAGATATGATGTACTTTAAAGTCATGCAATACAAATACATCCCAGTATAGTTGCAATGCCTTAAACCAAACATATTCACAATTTAACAGAAGTAGTCTTTTTCTAAGGAATAAATAAAGGTTTATATAGTTGCTGTGGGAGAAGATGATTACAGTTGTTCCGTTATTAATTTATTACATGTCAAGGGTTTGAGAACTCAGATTACTGGACATGTTAAGGGCACGTGTAATTAGGGTGTCCTTTTCATATATACTGTAAGACTGGATTGTATTTTATTGATTCTTATTTTTCTATAAACTCTTAGGGACTGCCTTGTTTTTGGTGGAAAATGACTGATGCTAACCAAACTTTAATACAATAAATAATCCTTATTATTTAGAGGGAGTGGCGAGTAGCATGGAGAGTTTCTGTAACGCCTTGGAGTTCATCCATTTATCCCAAACTCAGTACATGTTGTTAATAAGTTGCCTGTGGTTTTCAGGGTGGCACGCTGATCCAGTACGAAGGGAAGCTGCGTCTGCTGGAGATCGCCCAGGTGCCCAAAGCCCACGTGGACGAGTTCAAATCGGTTTCAAAGTTCAAGATCTTCAACACCAACAACCTGTGGATCTCTCTGCCCGCCATCAAGAGGCTGCAGGAGCAGAAGGCCATGGACCTGGAGATCATCGTCAACCCCAAGGTGAGAGGGACATCACTCAATGTTGTCCTTTTTGAATCAGCTGTTTTAAGCTTTGAAGGCTGCTGCATTTAAAGAAGGGCCATGCAATAGAGCAGGGGTGTCCAAACTACGGCCCGGGGGCAAAATGCGGCCCGCGGACCATTTTGAATCGGCCCTCAGCAAATTCAAAAAGTATAATGAAATATGGCCCACAAATGAAATGTACTTCTTAAATATATATGTTAAAATATATAACACATTATAAAACGGACAAGTAAAATCAAGCAATCTGATTGGTTCTTACCCGTGGTATACTGAGCGTATACCACGGGTAGAATTGTAAGTTACTTTTCACAACAACTCAGTATCCCTCCGCGTCTGAGATAAACAGTATACAGTTGGGCTGAAAAGCAAACTGCCTGCAGTTTGCTTTTCAAACTGGAACAAGAAAGCAGCGGAGAAGTAACGGAGCAGAAACCCTCCTTTTTACGCAGCGGTCCAGACATAGACATCAAACGGCAAAAACATATTCAGTGTGCAGTTCCTTTGGCATTAGGGCAGGGATATTTAGATACTTTCCAAGGTTTGACATAATGAATTGTGCTACTTTTAAAGCAAGCAACCATGTTTTCAAATCTGTAATCAAAAAGGTCCGCAAAAACATTTAAGATTAACTTCGACCTCCGGGGGGGGGGGGGGGGGGTCTTACGGAGGAGTGGATTGAGGAGTGCCTATCTCCAGAACAAAAAGCACCTAAACGACGACATGTAGAGCGACGTGAAGAGCAGGTAGACCAACTGGAAAAGTATCACCATTCAAAAGCTTTCTGATGCGGGTCTTGAAACAAAGCAGAGAAATTATGACCGTTAGTGGCCACAGGTGCGAAAGCTCTCTCCAGAGCTACTGGAAGCCGAATCTCGGGGACCGGAGAAAGTGGAGCAATATTCTCGCCACGCCAAGCAACAGCCTAGAACAACCTCAGCCTATACAAGTGACCACGTAAGCCATGCTACTGATGCTGGACAGTTTTTCAGTGGGTGCACAATAAACGGCAACATACACATGAATGTAAATAAATAGCCAAATAATGGATCAACGCTCTCTGTCTAATATGTTCGCTAGCTGTTGTTAGTGTTGTTGCATAGCAACCACCTCGCACTATGTTTCGTGCAGAAGGCAACAGAGGGACTATTTTATTTTTGAACATCATTATTTACTAATAAAAACTATTTAAATTAGAGTGTGTATCTTTCATATTGCCACACTTGGTAACCGTTTTATAAAAGCAATAGCTCACTTCAGGCCGTGATATATGCTCATTATATCACAGCTAAGGGGGTTGTCGACCCTCCGCTTCGCGTCGGGCCGAACCACGCCCCTTAGCTGTGATATAATGAGCATATACCACGGCCTGTCGTGAGCTATTGCTTAAGTATTCATGAGTTGATAAGCCACATTTTCAAATAAATTCAGTCAATTCAAGTTGAAAACATTTTCTAACATATCTTAGTTGATAAGAAAAAAAGCCCGATAACACATTTACATGACAACCTTGAAATATACCCTTCATATTTCCTCTTATCAGCAATCTGAGCCTACTGTTTTAAGGAATGAGCTGCCAACACAATAAATGAAACCCTGCGGAGAGCTGTGTTTTTTTTCATCATCAATATCAACAATAATTTACCTAAATTTGATTGATTGACGAGGCAATATACCTCTATTGAGCGGCCCAGCCCTTCGTATATTTTTCTGTATGTGGCCCTCGTAAAAAAAGTTTGGACACCCCTGCAATAGATGCTCAGATTCAATAAGCATTCAATGGAATAATAGCAAACCGCATCTGTTTTTACCTCGTCCGTCCTTTCACTTAGCCTTGAATAGCAGAGCGGAGAAATATCAGCCCCACTCTCCTTCCCCTTCTTCTGAATAAATCATATCTGGCTGAAAGAAATTCAAGCTCGCCGACGCTGAAGCCTGTTCCACTCTCTGAGCCTTTTGTTGTCATGCAAGGTTTTTGCATACAAAGGAGAGAAAAGGAGCTTCAGACCAAACTGCTCTGCTCTCTGGGGGCCCCACTTGGACTCTAATTCAAAATGTGTTTGTGTTCATGTGTGTGCAAAAGAGAGACAAATATGAAAGTGTTATTTTCCCTTACAAAAGTGCAGCTTCAAAGGCAAATTCCTCTCTTTTTTAAGATGCATTTTTCCTTTTCAATGTACTCTTCTTGCTGAGCTTGTTTGTCCAGCTCTCACACACATTTGCATTTTCAGCTTCAGGTTATTTATATGTACCCTTAGGTAGTTTGCACGTAAAAGACTAGTGTTCCATTATGACACAAATTCCAAAGCAACATAGACAAGTTAACAAACAGACACATCTAAAAAAGAATACAATAAAAAAAGTACCGCCTGCTCCATCTCATCTAAAAACATTTAAAAACGACGCACAAATTCAAGCTCTCACACACATTTGCATGTTGAGGTTAAGGTTAGTTATTTGTACCCTTAAGTAGATCTGGTTTGCAGATAAAAGACATGGGGTCCATTATGACACAAATTCGAAAAACAACGATAAGTTAATATCATCTAAAAACCTTTAATAACATCTAGAAACCACGCACAAATTCAAGCGGTAATGTTAAGGCTGCATGTTTGCCCTTTATCCCTCCTAACTAAGCCAACAGATCTGATGCGACTCGATGTTGTTTTGGTTGTGTTCACTCAGAGCAACTCGCTGAGCCTCTCAGTGGAGAAACAGCGCCTCAGGGTTTGTAAATCTTCAACCGGCGTAATAAATCCACCGCTCCTGATTATCACTCCTCGGACTGTAGATGTGATTTATTTGTAACCCTCGGCTACAGGATCACACACCGTGACATAGCAAGTGTTATATAACTGACAGAGCTTTAAAGGTCCCATGTCATGGCCATTTCTGCTGATCATAATTCCATTGTTGAGGTCTACTAGAATAGATTTATATTGTGCAATTTTCCAAACTCACATTGGTTTCTCATACAGCATCTCTGTATAGTATGTGTATTCACTCTCTGTCCTAAACGGCTTGTTGGAGCTCCTGCCCCCCCCCCCCCTCCCTGTGAGCCCAGTGTGCTCTGATTGGTCGGGACGTTGCAAGGCTCGTTGCTGCGATCTGCTGCGAGGAGCGGACAGGTTTCCGGGTCGGCGATACAGCGAGAACAAGCGAAACTCATCCTGAGCACACAAACACTCACAGCCGAAGTAAAAACAATAAATGTGGCTTGATATTGAGTAAGAAAAAGGTTTATAACGCTGTGAGAACGGGTCTGCGGAGAGCATTTCTCCGCGATCCCAACTCGTCTATTACCAGCGTTCAGGGAGCTCAATGCAAGTCAATGGGGACTCCCTGTTAGTTAGCCAAGGGATCCTGGTGCTCTGCGGATTGGTCCATTTGGGCCAATCCGGTCATGTGTTGTTGATTTGGGTGTTCACACGTCACAGAACCCAGGAAGCAAACAATGGAAAATGAGAAATCTCCAACGAGGCGTTCTGGGGCAGCACAGACAGGTCTTTTCTGTGTTAGAGTTGTACTCTCTACAGGGTGTACTTTGAGGGGTTTTGACTCTGCAGACCGTTTACATGCAGAAAGACCTTCATAACACACAAGGGGACGGGTAATAACCAGAAAAGCATGACATGGGCCCTTTACTAAGTGTGTATGTTCCCGTCTAGGTAAGAGTGAAGCTGCTGCTCCTGTGATACACTCTGTACACTCGTAGGGCACTTAAGATAAAAGCGTCCATGAAGTGCTGAATGTTACGTAACTGGTTCTGCTAGTTATTCTGAGACAACGAACACTATACTATTATATGTTATATCACTGACCTTTGAAACCTTTCAGGCTAATTTTTGTTTTTCCTCTTCACCTCTGTGGCTTCAGTTACATGTTCACAATAAACTTTAAAAGCATTGCTAGCAGTGGTACAAAGACAGACATGCTAAATGCTAACATGCAGGTACAATGTTTTGAAATCCCACTCTCACTTAATATTCATACCAACAATGATGTACAATTGCTTATGAAGTGTGTTCCAGCTGTTCAGTAACTGGATTTTGGCTTTACTAGATTAGCAAGACTTTTCTGAGCCTACTCGACAAACTCAATCACCCAAAATGCATTGCAACTCTTCAGACAGTTAAATGGAGGAATGCAATGCTGACGTTTTAACTTAATTATCATTGGAGAAACATCTCAGAATGATGGAGGGACTTTAAGAAACAGTATTGAGGAAAAACACAGGAGCTTACATGTATAATGTGCTTAACACAACATATTTAACACTTAAAATAATTTAGAATTAGATACAAATGTTCTATTGAGTGTAGGGCCTGGCAAAAGGACAATTGATATCTACAAAACGTGTAGAATATATTACGTTTCTATCTTGATTAACGATATACCCATATTTATACATGGTTTCTCTATAATTTCTATTAAATCTGTTGTTGATTTTGCACAAAAGTTCTTAACAAAATGAGAATTGACTCAGTACTTTTCATTTGTCAATTACATACAGTATGCACACGTTCATATTACCCAGGCCTAGTTGAGAGGAGGAGGTTAGGTACATGTACCTCTTCCTAACTGTGGATAGAGCTAACTTCCTCTACATCGACCCAATATACAGTTTCTGTTGTGAGTGATACAGCCATGTGATGCAGGAACAGAGAAGGCAAAAGTACCCACATCCTGTACTCAAGTAGAGGAACACACATCCTTTACTCAAGTAGAAGTACAGATACTCGTGTTTAAAAATACTCTGGTAAAAGTAGAAGTACTGACTAAACTTCTTTACTCAAGTAAAAGTAAAGAGGCTTTGAAATGTACTTAAGTAAAAAGTACCCATAACTAGCAGCTGTTTTAAAGAGTACCTGACCTCCCTTTATATTAATAGAACAATAATGTCATTGTTAGCTAATGAATGTTTCCATGCTGAACAACGGCAACATGACAACGTTTTCATTGGTCCCTCTTCTTTAGAGAAGACCAGGAAATGATGGATACACGGATCGTGTTCAAATCAATAGGCACGCAATGACTCTAAAGAATAATGATCACGCCACCAAACACATTCACACTAAAGGAACCAGCCTGTTTGGGAAATGTGAGAAGTAGAAAGTACAGGTATTTGGGTTCAACATGTAAGAAGTAGAAAGTACAGGTATTGTGTTCAAAATGTAAGAAGTAGAAAGTACAGGTATTTGTGTCAAATGTAAGAAGTAGAAAGTACAGGTATTTGTGTTCAAAATGTAAGAAGTAGAAAGTACAGGTATTTGTGTTCAAAATGTAAGAAGTAGAAAGTACAGGTATTTGTGTTCAAAATGTAAGAAGTAGAAAGTTCAGGTATTTGTGTTCAAAATGTAAGAAGTAGAAAGTACAGGTATTTGTGTTCAAATGTAAGAAGTAGAAAGTACAGGTATTTGTTCAAAATGTAAGAAGTAGAAAGTACAGGTATTAGTGTTCAAAATATAAGAAGTAGAAAGTACAGGTATTAGTGTTCAAAATGTAAGAAGTAGAAAGTTCAGGTAAGACGTAGAAAGTACAGGTATTTGTGTTCAAAATGTAAGAAGTAGAAAGTACAGGTATTTGTGTTCAAAATGTAAGAAGTAGAAAGTACAGGTATTTGTGTTCAAAATGTAAGAAGTAGAAAGTACAGGTATTTGTGTTCAACATGTAAGAAGTAGAAAGTACAGGTATTTGTGTTCAAAATGTAAGAAGTAGAAAGTACAGGTATTTGGGTTCAAAATGTTAAGAAGTAGAAAGTACAGGTATTTGTGTTCAAAATGTAAGAAGTAGAAAGTACAGGTATTTGGGTTCAAATGTAAGAAGTAGAAGTACAGGTATTTGTGTTCAAAAATGTAAGAAGTAGAAAGTATCAGGTATTGTGTTCAACATGTAAGAAGTAGAAAGTACAGGTATTTGGGTTCAAAATGTAAGAAGTAGAAAGTACAGGTATTTGGGTTCAACATGTAAAGAAGTAGAAAGTACAGGTATTGTGTTCAAATGTAAAAGTAGAAAGTACAGGTATTTGGGTTCAAAATGTAAGAAGTAGAAAGTACAGGTGTTTGTGTTCAAAATGTAAGAAGTAGAAAGTACAGGTATTTGTGTTCAACATGTAAGAAGTAGAAAGTACAGGTATTTGGGTTCAAATGTAAGAAGTAGAAAGTACAGGTATTTGGGTTCAACATGTAAGAAGTAGAAAGTACAGGTATTTGTGTTCAAAATGTAAGAAGTAGAAAGTACAGGTATTTGGGTTCAACATGTAAGAAGTAGAAAGTACAGGTATTTGTGTTCAAAATGTAAGAAGTAGAAAGTACAGGTATTTGGGTTCAAAATGTAAGAAGTAGAAAGTACAGGTATTTGTGTTCAACATGTAAGAAGTAGAAAGTACAGGTATTTGGGTTCAAAATGTAAGAAGTAGAAAGTACAGGTATTTGTGTTCAACATGTAAGAAGTAGAAAGTACAGGTATTTGGGTTCAAAATGTAAGAAGTAGAAAGTACAGGTATTTGGGTTCAAAATGTAAGAAGTAGAAAGTACAGGTATTTGGGTTCAAAATGTAAGAAGTCAAAGTAAAAAGTCATCAGAAAAATAAGTAGTGGAGTAAAGTACTGATACCAGAAAGATGTACTTAAGTACAGAAACAAAGTATTTGTACTCCACTACTTCCCACCTCTGTGCAGGAAATACATATTTCTTGAATACTGTGTACATCAGTGTGAACAGACGGCTGGTAATGATCTAGTTGAGTATTAACTTAGCAGCCAGTTCATTCTGATTTAGTTTGTAGTACACAGAACCTGATTTTGAACTGCATCTTAACCAAAGTAATAAAGAAATTAAAATGTTTATCTCATGATGGTGCTGGAGAGAAGGTCAGGGGATCACTAAAAGCTTTATGATTGATTTAGGGGCCACTTATGTGCAGAATATCTTCCAACCAACAGTAGTTAAATATGGGTCAGAGCAGTGTCCTGAGAGGAGGGGTCAGCGAGGTCCAAATCCTCCTGCTCATGTAACTGAAGACTTCAGCCCTGCATGTTGGACATTTTTGGGGAAACGAGGGTTTAACCAAATGAGACGAAAGTCATTTGAGGTCTCAGCGAATCACAGATGTTTTAGATGAACTTATGAAATACATTTTTAAATGAGTAGTACATGAGCTGTGTAACAACAGGATTCTGATTTGTATTTGTAGGTTAGTGTCTTCTGTTTCCTTGTGGTTCTTTAATGCAGTGAGAGATGGATAGAAAACAGAACAGTTACTTCCTCTTGGCGATTTGAAACAGCAGTAGTTGCTTCCTTGTTCTTTTTTCTGCAGCAAAAATATACCGTGTTATGTATTTATAGGTTTATTTAACAGGGCCAATGCACATTAAAAAGCATGGCTGTAAATGCGGCACAGTCAGCAAAGAAGCTTTTTCTCTTCTGAAGTTCATGGACAGATGTACAAAGTCCCCCTGATGACAAGTTAAATCACAAACATGCAATATAGAGGCATACATGCCAACCTTTCCAAATCCAAAAGAGGTAGGTTTGCGCGCGGCAAATGTGCACGCCCAAATTAGGTAATCAGAAGAAATGGAACCCCAGTAATTACATGTATAAACCATGTATTTAACATTTCAGAAAAAGTGGTTGTTTGGTAAACAGTGACATCAACGACATGTTTGGTCTGTAAAATGCCCGAAAATGTCTCTGGTCCTCTTTCAGTTGAGACAGTGTAGATCAGGGGTCGACAACCTTTTTGATATGAAGTGCCATTCTAAAAAAAAAAAAAATTTATCAGCGTGCCGACGATCGTGAATTATCAACGGGGGGGGGGGCTGTTGAAGAGCTCGATGAAAACACTCGTGAAAAGTGATGTTTAAAACTCAGTTAATGGGGCTCATTCACTGGCGCTTCCACAAACAACAACCAACATAATTGTTACATTCAAATGAAGTAGCCTACATTATTCAAGTTTACATTAACTTTGGATAATAACACGGGAGAAATGAGCTGAAGCGCTCTCTTTTCCTCTCTCCCCCTCTCTCTCTCTCCTGACAGCCTGTCAGTATCTCATGCAGCTCACTGATCCAGTAATGAGTGACAGTGAAGAATAAATATATTTATAACTAGTTCCAAAGGTAGATCAAATAGCTAAGTGTGTTAGGTCTAACTCTTAGTGTGTGTTCTGCTCCGCTCACCGGTCCGTCACAGCGGGTGGAGCTGCAGGATTTCTGCTTCACACACGTTGCATACCGCTATTTTATTGTCTTTTTCGGACACCTTAAAATAATGCCAGACTGGTGAAGCGATTTTGGCGAGCTTGTTTTGCCGCACACAGAGAAAAGTGTCATGTATGTTACGTCTCGCGATCGGCCTTTTTGAGTGGGGCTGCGTTGCGTGCATGGCTTCCTTCTGCAGGTAACGGGGAGACGCGCTCTGGCGGCGGTCTCGTTCAGGATCCGAAAATAAAATAAATATTTTGTACACTTATTCCTAGTGTGCCACTGGTTACGCGTGCCACCAATGGCACGCGTGCCAGGGGTTGCCGACCCCTGGTGTAGATGAAGGATGTGTCAGGATGTAGAACTCTTGTGTGAACATTGGATAAAGCCAGGTTCATATTCTTGTTTCCTGTTGTTGACATATTCGAGTCAAAGGTTTGCACAGAGCAAAATATCTTTGTGTTGCGCCATGAATGAGAAAATACTGCATTAAAAAAAGTCATTTCCTGCATTTTTCCAGGCTTTCAGATTGCTTTAGTTCACTAAACAGAGACATTAACGACATGTTTGGTGTTGAAAATGTCAGAAAAAGTGAAAGAATGAGAGATAAATATCCCCAAATCTCAAAATGGTATTGTGTGTTTGTGGTCCTTTTTCAGTTGAGACACTGTACGTGAAGGATGCTTCAGGAAAAGACCAAACACTGGATGTCTTTCAGTCGCCAACATGTGTTTTCGATATTAACGGGGAAACCCTGCAGGACTCAAAGGCCTAGTCTCTCTGTTCCCCTAACTCATTTGGGAGTGATTACCCATCAGCCCCGGGGGTAACGCTGCCTTTCCTCTGCACGTTGTTTCTCTTTCAGAAACACAGAGGACTGTTTGTAAGATGGGATCACAGACACGCTGCAAACGGTGTCGAGTCCAGTGTCTATGTAGTGTCATTTTTATTCGTTATAGTTTGGGAAGATTGAAAATCGGTAGGGAAAGCCAGCTAAGTCGGTAGGCGGTAGAAACATGTCAAAGGCGTTAGACTACTGCCCAAATTGGTAGGGTTGGCAGGTATGATAGAGGGTCACAACACAAAACTACTACTAATAATAATACATTTTATTTATAAGCGCACTTTTCATTTGAGTAAAGACAACTCAAAGTGCTACAGAGTAAAATGGTTGAAACAAAATAACAAAAACAAATAACACGACAAAATAAAAGCAGTGACGTTTACGCCTGCATGGCAACAAGTGGGGGTTTTAAAGATCTGGTAAAAGGTTATTCTAAAAAGATGCATTTGATGGCCTTTTTAACTAAAACATACACGTGTTGACAGATCTGAGTGCTAAGCATGTCTTTAAATGAGTTTTGAATAAACATGTCTCCTCTCTTTCTCTTCAGACGCTGGACGGCGGGCAGAACGTGGTCCAGCTGGAGACGGCGGTCGGGGCGGCCATTAAATGTTTCGATAACGCTCTGGGCATCAACGTGCCGCGCAGCCGCTTCCTGCCGGTGAAGACGACCTCCGACCTGCTGCTGGTGATGTCCAACCTGTACAGCCTGGACGCCGGCTCGCTCACCATGAGCCCCCGCAGAGAGTTCCCCACCACGCCCCACGTGAAGCTGGGCAGCTCCTTCACCCAGGTACGGTCGATATTAGTGGAAAATATGTAACAATATGACAATATTTAAGATCTTGATGATTTATGGTTTATCACATTTATTGTATTTACTCTAAATATTCACTCATGTCCAAATGTTACACTTTTGTGTCCTTGAAATACAGTTTTCTAGGTTTGAGTTTGGCACTCAAAGATTCAACGGTTTTATAGTCATATGCACAAAGCTACAGTGTAGAAATGGCAATGAAATTCTTCTGACCTGAGCTCCTCCAACAATGCAACATATATAATAAAATACAAAATTAAAGGTAGTCTATATACATGTCAATAGAATATGGGATTATGTACAAGAACAGAATATGAAATTAAATAATGTAAATTAAGACAAAATTAAATACGATTTATTGCGGTGATAACTATTTTAGTATCATAAGAATGAATTGGATATAATTATGATGTTCTGCTGAATGTAATGATCAAATACACACAAACAGTAGGGTTGTTGACGTGTGGGTGTGTGTGTGTGTGTGTGTGTGTGTGTGTGTGTGTGTGTGTGTGTGTGTGTGTGTGTGTGTGTGTGTGTGTGGTGTGTGTGTGTGTGTGTGTGTGTGTGTGTGTGTGTGTGTGTGTGTGTGTGTGTGTGTGTGTGTGTGTGTGTGTGTGTGTGTGTGTGTGTGTGGTGTGTGGTGTGTGTGTGTGTGTGTGTGTGTGTGTGTGTGTGTGTGTGTGTGTGTGTGTGTGTGTGTGTGTGTGTGTGTGTGTGTGTGTGTGTGTGTGTGTGTGTGTGTGTGTGTGTGTGTGTGTGTGTGTGTGTGTGTGTGTGTGTGTGTGTGTGTGTGTGTGTGTGTGTGTGTGTGTGTGTGTGTGTGTGTGTGTGTGTGTGTGTGTGTGTGTGTGTGTGTGTGTGTGTGTGTGTGTGTGTGTGTGTGTGTGTGTGTGTGTGTGACAGGTCCAGGAGTATGTGAGTCGCTTCGAGAGTATCCCTGACATGCTGGAGCTCGACCACCTGACCGTGTCCGGAGACGTCACCCTCGGGAAAAACGTTTCACTGAAGGTAAAAACACCTTCAATCAAATATAGTTTAGAAACCAAACGCTTACAAGACACTTCAACAAATAGGATCTATAAATAAATTAGAGCGACAGGAAGTGTCAACAATGTCAAAGCAAATATGAACCCAATTTATCTCCTTAGACAGGTGAGAGAGAATTGGTTTTCAAATGGTTTCAAGGGCGCAAACAGCTCGATATAAACAATGTATTCAATCTGAATGTAAAAGTGTCTTGGGTTGAGCATGAGAGCCCATCACATTATGTATTCTCACACTGAGACACACTGTGGGTAGTAAAGACCACCAGTGACGTCAGACATGTTCTTTCATGTGGTGGAGATGACGAGCGAAGAGCCCTTTGAGGCTGCTCCCAATACATCTTTAAACGTTTATCTGCACATTTTACAGATAATATTCAGAGTTCCCCTCGGGACATTTACATTTTTAACAAGGACATAACAAAAACTGTCCCTGCTGTCCAACGGCTGTCATTGATTCATTGCTTTCATTACAGTAAATCCTAGTTTTAAAATGACCTCTTTTCTCAATTTCTATCTTAAAAATGTGTACTTTTATTATGTATATAGTATTCTTATATACATATACAATACATATATTGGTATTTATAGTGTATACTGACTTATTCTGTGTAATTATGTTGTGTATTTGATTGAGATATTAGATAAATATATATATATTTATACTGTTGATATTGTTATATTTACTGTTTGTGTTTATTTATTGATCTTGCTTGCTGCAACACATTATATTGTTTTATTTATTTTATAGTTTGTGTCTTCCTTTGTTTTACTGAGAGGGTTATCTGTACTTTTTAATCATTATTTTATTTTTCTGGAATTGTTATTTTTTTGCTGCACGTGTGCAAAAAGGTTTTACTGCTTGACCTGAATTTCATTTCTTGTTCTCTGTTTTAATTTATGATGTGTGCCATGTTGTCAAAGCACTTTGAGCTGCACCTAGTGTACGAAAAGAGCTATTATTATTATTACTCATATTAATCTTATTATTAATCTAATCTCTGATAAACTACAACTCATTGCTCTTCCTCCTCTCAGGGCACCGTCATCATCATCGCTAACCACGGGGATCGCATTGATATTCCAGCCGGCTCCATGCTGGAGAACAAAATCGTTTCTGGAAACCTGCGCATCATGGACCACTGACGCCTTCTTCACACACTAAAACACCCTCATCATGTGACCTTGTCAGCTTTATCCCAGTCATGTGACCTGTTTCCTGACAGCGCGAGAGGAGGATGATTGATTGCATCTGCAGTGCTGCTTTTGAAGCCGGGATACGGCGCCCTCTGCAGGCTGTTTACTATATCTTATACACCTTAAAAAGTGTTAATACCTTAAAGCTGTCATTTTAAATAATGACCTGTATCCATGATAGATAGAACAACCAACAATCTGATTTTGACTGTTAGTTCCTGCCAAAAAGGACTAGCTCAAAAAAACAGAAACAAGTAGATTTGTATTGTCATCTTTATGTGCTCCTATAGCACTGCTAATGCAATCACATAGTGTTCTTACATGAGGGGTGAAGTGATGGAAGAGTTTAACCATTTATTTAAATCGCAAAGACCTCCCTGTAGTGGCAATTCAACAGCAAATCACACTGCTGGAGTACATTTTAGCGTCCAAAACACCGAAACAAATCGACATAAATAATACAAACTTACATTTTTATATGTTTGAGGTTTGTTTGAGGTTTGACTGGTGCTGTTTTCAATATTTAATCTTGTTGTCCCGTCTTCTTTCTAATGTATAACTGCAGCATTTGGGGAATTATTGCCAGTAGTGGATGAAAACACACATTGATTTGCATTTCCTTTGTGAAAATTGAGTTTGTTTAGTCTGTTGTCTCTTGTAGTAAAAATGAACTGAAAGTAGGTTAGTAAATCTGAGTGAAATTGATAATTGTTTTCAGTGACATCTGGAACATATTGCTAGTCAAATTTAACATTTTTAATATGAATATTTGAATCAGAGCAGCTTCAGTTTTTACATGACTGCAATAAATAATTACTTTTACAACCATCTAGAATCAAGTCTTAAGTGACGTTTGTGCTGAAAAATGAATAGTTAACTTCCTTCCAGAGCAAAGTGTAAATAAGACTTCTTCTGGATATTTTCCAGGTTATTTTGACTGAAAATCTCCCGAGGGTTTGTAATTCAGAGAAACTAGCGTGTGTCTCTCCGCTGTAATGATCCATATCCAGGCACGACTCCAATGCCATGAAATAATATGTAATAACTGATATATAACGTTAAATTAAAGGTCTTTCTTTGTTATGTCCCTGCGTGATGTTGTAGACCATGAGAAATACCACAATGTGTATTATTTTTGTTGTTGTTCCAGTTGCTCACATTGTGATGTGTGAAACCTCATGCCTGCACTTCAGTGTCAAATCTCACCTGTCACCTCTGTCCACCTTCATGGAGCATTAACCTTCACACAGCAAAGACAGGAGGTGCAACACACACACACACATACACACACACATACACACACACACACTCACGGTAGACATGTTAAAAATACAAAATGTGAAGTGTGAGAATACTTGAGATGGGTCCACGGACCGAAAGCCTGAAAGCAATAAGTGTTGATCTGTGACGGAGGACTCAGTTCTGCCTCCTCAGAGCTGAATAAAGTGCAATATGAAATAATGAGCATGCGTCCTCTGTTGTTTCTACACACTCACACTTAATTTGCAAATGTTCTGGTTGTATATTTGTATGTAGTGTCTCTACTGTGACATGTCTCCATGCTTTAATGTTCAAAAGCTCTTTATTCTTCTCATACTGCCTGTGCTGCAGCACCTCTTTTCACCCTCTGTCTGAAACCAGAGCCCAGTCTGCTCTGATTGGTTAGCTGGCCGGCTCTGTTATGATTGGTCAACTGCTTAGAGATGTCCCGCCCCTTAGCCTATCACGTACAATGTGCTAGCCAATAGAAGTACGAATGTTACGTTGTGATGTCACTTTGTTTTGGAAGTAAACAAATGAGTCCAATGGAGGCGGAGTGTGTGGGAGAGAAACTAAAAACACTCCTTATCCCATTCTTTAACACCACCAGCACAAAATGAGCCGTCTGTAAAACAGCAAACATGTCCATATGGTTGATATAGATAGATAGATACCTAAAATAACGATATTAAAATGTAATGCAATCTTTTATTTGTTTCTAAAAAATAACAATGTTTCATCTCCCCTTTCCCAGAGACTTTGCAGGGAGGTCAAAGATGTCAATAAGATTTCTTTATTTGAAAAATAGCTGACAGTTGATGATTGCTCTTAATGATGAACAGTAAACTTTTAAACGGTAGTAAGACACTCCATATTATCACACATTCACGGACATATCGGGAACCCTGTAGTTAATTTGGGCAAGTTTGAAGCATTGTAAAAATGTCGCTCCACCACACAGAAGCTGAAGCCGTAGAGAGGCGCCTCCATGTCCCGCACAGCGCTCCACCTGCTGGAGTCTTCATCGAAACGCTCCACCTTACAGAGGTCGCTCTCGTTGTTGTACCCTCCGGCCACATACAGCTGCTCCTCCAGCACCGCCATGCCAAAGTGCCTGCGAGCGTAGATCATGGGAGTCATCGTGCTCCACTGGTTTGATAACGGATCGTAGGCGATGACTCGGCACAAAGACGCGCCGTTGATGTGGCCTCCAGCCTGTGAGAGGAGGGAGAAAATGTACTTAAATGTACCACAATGTAAACAATACTCTATTACATACAGAGGTTCAACCACCTGCTTAAGAACTCTTTGATAAGCCACCAGAATTGGTTGGTTTGTTTTATTCACGTCATGTGTGTATTGCAGTTTGTGTAGATTGTATTATTATTATTGTTAGTATCAAAGCATCTATTTGAAAGGCTAAAATGAATTACGCCTGGTTAGGGCCTAATTAAGAGTCCAATTTGGCTCTAATGTTTGAGATACTATGATAATATGTTCATAGGGATTACACATTAAAAAAGAAACCACATACTGTGGCAGCACTGCTAATGCAATCACAAAGTTCGCTTACATAAAGAGGAAAATTCATGAGGTTATACAAGTTTCAGGCCATTAAAACGCCTCAGATGTCCAAAATCAGTTTCAAATGTTCAATTGACTCAATTATCAAATGTAGAATGTCATCACAGAAAATGGTCCCTGCCAGTGATATTTGTGTACATCTCATATACTTAAATAAACCAAAATGCAAACCAACCCAAACCACATGCAATTAAGTCCATGTCTGTGTCTTGATGTATGTGATTGTGTTTGAATGTTTTTTATTCCTCTCACCAGATATATTTTGTCTCTGTAGACGACAGCCCGAGCTGAAGCGCAGCCGCAGTCCATCGAGGCGATCATCGTCCACTCGTTGGTTTTGGGGTTGTAGCACTCAGCAGAGGACAGAGGTTCTTCGTTGTCTAGACCGCCGCAAATATATATCTACACAGGAACAATTTTAATATAATGACAGACAGTTGTTGTTACTGTAGCCATACGACAAAACATAGCTCTAGGTTTGTCTGTAATAAAATACTTGCAACAATAACTGTTTCAGCCATAGGCAAAGTGTTTGGAGCTTTTTAGCTAACGTTAGCATGCTAACATATTCAACTAAGACGATAAACATGATTCCCATTGTACTCGCTAAGTATCAGCATGTTAACATGGATATGTTGCCACGCTAGCGATAGAATTTCTCCTGTTACACCTCTCTGTTGAAGACCTATTCGCAGAAGACACATTAATTATCTACAGTTTCACATAAAAAACCTGTGTTTCCCTTACAAAGGCGCTACAAGCTAAAGGCTAAATTTGATTAGCTTGTTTCTCTTAAAACTTCCAGGTGTCCTGTTCAAATATAACCTATAGCCTATTTAAATAAAAAAACTAAGATATTGGAAGGGTCTTGTTTGTATTTGACTTAAACTTCATAAATTCCAATGCTGGAACATGCTGAAAGGAGCCATTACTGGCAACTGGAAGTCACTTTTGCACAACTGTGACTTGGTGAGAAGTTAAACCACTAGAGGTCAGCATAAAAAAAGATTTCCAGCTGCTGTTCAATTGCTCTTTAAGGTCCTCAGTTCCTCCTACCTTGCCGTGTAGCGTCGCGGCGCAGGCGTCACTCCTGAAATGGAGCATCGGAGCGATCAGTTCCCACCGGTTGTTTTCCGGCTGGAACCGCTCTGCAAGTTTCTGTTCGCGCCCGTCAGTGCCTCCGATGGCATAAATGCATCCGTTCAGAGCCACCGCACACACACATTTTCTGGGTTTGTGAATGGGCACCAACTCCTGCCAGGTGTGGCTGACGAGGTCGAACTTACGCACGCTGCTCAAAATGTTACTCAGGTCAGTTCCTCCAATACAGTAGATGGATCCATTGAGGAAGACGCAACCGTGCAGAACTCTAAAGGTCTTCTCCCGGCTGTTCATGGGCAGCCAGCAGTCGGCTCGGACATCGTAGAAGTCCATCCTGTCCGTCAAACATTCTTTCTCGCTGCCTCCGATGGTCATGAGCACCGCAGAGGGGAGGCGGGCGCGGGTCAGAGGTCGCTCCAGATGGGCCTCTCGCAGGGCCTTCATGGCGTCGATCACCAAGGTCATGCACGACACACACTTCCTCACCAGGTTGTTGTTAATCACAGTTTCTACCAGGTAACTACTGGACATTGACAGCAGGCGCACCTAGATCAGGAAAACAAGGAGGATTTAACTAATAAGGAGTTTTTAAACCAATTAATTATTTGCAGACACTTCAATAGGTATTGATGTTTTTAGTTTTTATTTCAGATTCAGTTTTATTATACATATGTTCATATTTTGGTCAACAGTTTTTCCATTTTCATTTAGCTGTATCTACATAACCAACATAAGAAAAGAAAAAAAGAACAAAAAGAGATCAATACAAATAATAATAATAAAATAGACATATGAAAAGATAAATACATACAAATAATAATAATAGGTATTGATGTTTTAAGTCATTCTACTCTAAACTGTCCTGATACACAAATATCAGGAATTGTGGCCTAGGGCTGGCCGATAAGATGGTATAAAATGTTCAAGTTAAATCCACTTGATTTGGCAATTCTGGTTCTACCGAAGTAGCTATTCTAGTAATATGATTACCAGACATTTTCACGGCCTTTTTGAAGCTTATTGAAATGAACGATGAGCAAAACCAGGAAAATATCATCTTTGTTTTCGTCGGTATACTCTAAAGACAAGTACACATTTGTGGTTTTTTATTGCACAGACGAAAGTCAGACTGCGTTACATTTGGACCTGCTGGGACACTTCAAATAATTGTTCTCAGGAATCTTAAAACTTAAAGGGGACCTATCATGCAAAATGCACTTGTGTACGTCTTTTATACATGAATATGTGTCCCCGGTGTTCCAGGGAACTCACCAAGTGTCAGAAAACACAACCCTCTCTATTTTCCTCCATACCCAAATCTCTAAAAAAGGGGCTGCAACGGATCTGATAAAAACTGATCCAGATTTGAACACTGTCCTGACGTCAGGACGGTGGCGCTACGGCTATTGGGCCAACTCCACCAATCAGGAGGAGACAGCCACGGCCATTGCCGTTCGAAAGCGCTGGAGACGCTGTAGTACATATGCCACGCCTGTAGGTGGTGCTGTTCTCACTGAATCTGCCCTTGCTAAAACAGATCTAAAAAATATCAAATTGAGCTAAATGAGGCATGGCTAAAATGCATGATCTGTTTGGTATTTTGGAAAAAAAAAAGTATAAATATGCCTTATATAGGTATGGTCCTACACTATATTATTCAAATATAGCATGATAGGTCCACTTTAAGTTAGGATTGTAATTGCTTATGTGCACATGACAAGTAAGCCTTTGAGTTTGAATTAGAAATAGAACAAAAACACTAGCATGTCAGATGTCAACAGTTCAGACTTTGAGTCCTTTTCGGGGGGCGCCAATGTATCTGTACAGTAGTAAAAGTACAAGTAGCCTACCTGAACAATGTGCTTAAATAGTTAATAAATAAAGTAAACCAGCAGCAGTTCACGTGCTGCTTTCAGGTACCTTGCTCAGCAGCACGGCCATGTGACCCTGGCGTTCCAGCGGGGCGTAGTCGATCCAGCGCTGCACCGCCTCGAACACGATGCTCTCCTGCTTCACATTCAGCTCGTCCTGCTCGATGAGATCTTCCAGCTGCTGCACGGAGAGCTGCAGGAACTTCACAGAGAAGCCCGCCACCTCCTTAAAGTGATGCAGCACGAACAGGTAGGCCTTCTGCCTCAGCTTGGGACATGTGTGGAACTCCGCCACCATCCAGATGTGGACGCAGTTCTTGGTGTTGAGTCTCTGCTCCAGGAAGAGGCAGCAGGCCTTCATGACGCCCCCGACGGAGAAGCTCTCTGCTCCGGCCAACAGCTCCAGAACGTTCTCCTCCGTCACCACCATGGAGTCGGTGTAGATGAAGTCCAGGATGAGGCTCATGGTGATGGGGGAGACCTGTGAGAAGCTGAAGACCTGATGCTCCGATGGTCCAGATAAACGGCAGAAGAGTTCTCTGTGGGACCAGAGGTCACAGGAACAAGAGGTTCAACAGGGTCTTTCTGTCAAACTCCTACCATTTTAACTCAAACCTGCATTTTAAGAGTTCCTCGAAATGTAGTATT